GTTATTGTACTCTCTCTCTCTCTCTTCCTCTTCTTCTCACTTCCCCCTTGGTGGTCCTCCTCTTTATATCTCTCTTATCACATTCTCCTATTCTTCATATCTTATATCTAACACACTCCTCCTCCTCCTCCTTCTTCCTCTTCTACCTTTTTCCTTTCTTGCCAAACCAAACATTTTCTACATATAGTTCCTTTTCTTCCCCATTTGCACATCTTTTCCTTCATATATATATCTCTAGCTATAGCTTGCTAGTCCCTTAAATATATATTTTAAACCCCTAGGCAGCTAGGATTACCAAGGGTAAAATTAACATTTCTTGGTTTTTGCTCATTATTTGACGCAGCAGACAGATAAACCTCAGTGTTTAACTAATCCAAGATGTCCAGCAGAAGGTCGAGGCAGTCAGCAAGTGTTTCGAGGATTTCAGATGATCAGATCATTGAACTTGTCTCCAAGTTACGCCAACTTCTTCCTGAGATTCGCGATAGGCGATCTGACAAGGTACTTTAAACCATATCTCTTTCCCCTCTCTCACTTTCTCCATATCTGCTCAAGCACAGAGTGAGAAGAATGAAGTTGAATTTTGCTAATGCAAAGCTGAAGGAAGGCGGAAAGTGTGAAAACTGTAACGTGCTAAATCCCTGGTGCATGTGCCACATGGGAATAGGATATTTCAGTTATTATAGTAGGAGTCTTCGTAAAGAGTTTGAAAACTTGACCCGGATGTCAAGGAAACATATTTTCATAGGTTCAGGCTTCTCCATTTGACTCACAACAGTGCCCTGCTTTGACCCTGGAGGAGCCAAAACTTCCTGTTTCTTTCCTTCATTTATTACTATCATATGAACATGCAAGTTAAAGCACAGTCTTAGTCTCGTTATGTGGGGGATAATGCACAGACCTCAATAGTTTACTCTGTCGACTTGGCTCGACTTGATTACCAATAATTTGCTGTATCGACTTGACTCAGCTGGAATAATTAATATATTTTTATTAATATAAATTAACATTTTCTTAAAAAAATAATGTAATGTCGAGCAACTTTGTCAGAAGAAAGTGACTTGTTGTTTAACAAGGCATTGGATTTGACTGTCCTGCAGGTATCAGCATCCAAGGTTTTACAAGAGACTTGCAATTACATTAGAAGCTTGCATAGGGAGGTGGATGATCTAAGTGAGCGACTGTCCCAGCTCTTGGCTACAATTGATTCTGATAGTGCTGAGGCTGCCATAATTAGGAGTCTAATTATGTAATAATATACTCCTTTTATTAATTTTTCTGCCTTGTACTCTCTTACTAGGTTTTGGTCACTAGATCAAACAAAACTTAGAGTATATTTTAAGATGCCCCCCATGTGGGAGTGCGTCCAGTGTAATTACCTTGTATAATAAAAGGACTTGCACTAGCAAAGCCTTTTAAATTTTATGGTAATACTATTACTTTTGTTGGCATAAGACAAGCTTAATTAATTTGTTTATATCTGTTTTTTGTTTTTAATTTAGTCTGAGGCTTTTATTTGATTTGAAATTTAATTTGGTATATGTGCACCCGCTAACATTTAAGTAATTTGATTAGTTTATAAATTAGATGAAATTAATATTATTGAGGGGGTTGTCCATTTTCAAAACAAGAGAAGCAATTAGAAGAATGTGTTGATCCTAAGCTTTTTGTCGGTAAGTTGGGATCAAGTGCCATAATGCAATACGGAAGCACCAAAATCATCATTACAGAGTGATTTGATGGACCACTAATTAATTTTTTTCTCAGTATGACCTACATGTTAGGAGATTTTCAATCCTAGTTTGTTTGTTTAATCAAATAATTATAATTAATGTTTGTTTGAATATATATATATATATATATATATCTATATATATGGTACCTTAATGTCGAAAATTTTGTGTTGTTGACCTTGGCAAATGCATGTTACGATCTACCTATATATGCTACAAATGAAAAAGATGAATGATTCAATTGAATTTGACATAATTTCGCCGCCTTCTGCTATAAGAAACATGTTACTTGACGCTGTGAACAAAATAAAAGGTTAGGGATATGTAGCATTTGCATGGCAACTTTGTCTAGGGGTGACTATGGTAATTCAAATCATTAAGAAATATATGCCAGAAAGGGTTAAGACAGAAAAGCAGGAGCAAACGAATTTTTCTTGTTGTACGTTCTTCACAAGTGTCACAGGCAATACTGAATCATAATCCGACCTCCAACCCCATCCCAAGTCTAGTCATGAGGAGCATGCTCTAGTGTAGTTCCAGAAACTTGTTCATCTTTTAGTAAGCATGATTTGAATGATAGGACTATATCGATCCAGTGGTGATACTTGATTTGTCAAAATTACCATTTCGTCAATTATAATATATATATATATATATACATACATATCCTTACAAAATATCGTTTAATGTTAACTTAAGCGTTTCTATAGTAAATCACAATGTTATTTTACTCATTAAATTTTCATGAAATTTAAGGACTACGATAACAACAACAATGACAAAGAACTCAACTTCATAGCTACAGTAAAGTCCTGTCTTTGTCAAGTGAAATATCTATGAATCATGCTTACCTTAGCATGAAGAATCTCGTGCAACTCTTTTTTTTTTTTTTTTTCATTTGTTAATTTGTATATATTTTGGAAATGACTGGGCGGTAAGGTTTCCATGGATATGAGTTTGGTTTTTTTTTTTTCTATTTTATTGGAAAAATTGGTAATTGTGAAGTGAATTAAAACAGGGTTGAATGTTGACGTTAACGACTTAACTATCTCAAGTGATCAAACCCATTTAGAAGAATTAATCGATTAGGTTTAAGAATCACTCCAAGTCCTAGAAGAAATGAAAGATTATACATAATTATGAAAGTATATATAGTTGATCCATGGAAATGAAAGTTACGATATCATAACAGGGATTAACTAGATGATTTGGCTTAAAAAGGAATTAACTTGAAGGATATGAATATAATATATATATATATATATTATTTAGAGTTGGTCAGTTTCTTAAGCAGTGCAAAGTGAGCTATTAATCAACATAATGTATTTGCTCTAATCATGCTTGTTAGAAACATCAATTAACAATAGGATTATATCTAAAGACATTTAAGTCCCACCTTAACATATTTGTTTGGTCATGAAATTAATCGATATGATATGTATGTATATGTAGACCAAATTGTTAAAAGGTTTCATATTTTTCCTATAACAACATGAGGGCTAAATTACATTTAAAATGTAATAGAAAAGGAAAGAAAGAAAACGATGTTAGGAGACATGGAGTGTCGTTACCTTTAGCTTTGAGAAGATTGAGGGATTCAACTTTTTTGGGGTTTGGGTAGGAAGAAGAAAGTTGCCTTCCATCTCCATGCCCGCCGGTGCAATCATCAAGAGAAAAAGGCCAACTTGTTTCAAGCAATTTGCCGAATTTATCAGTCAACTAAGTCAGCCCCTAAAAGAGCCCTGAGTTTAGACCCCTTGGGCTTTCATCATTCCGCCTTTTTTTCTACTTGTCTTTGGGCTTTTTAACTCTTCTCATTTCGTGGCATTACTAGATTGGATTGCATAAAAGAAATTAGATATAATATTCCAAGAAGTTCCTTGTTCTTAAATTATACCCACAAAGTCAATTGAGCCGTTATGTTTTTCTTCGAATAAAACAAAAACTTTGAAATGAGTTGGATTTAGTTTTGCAGTATGATTCTAACTGAGTTAGTTCTAGTAGGAATTAATTATTAACAGCTTCAATTGTAATTTTGTCTTCTCGAATGATTTAAGAAATTTAGTAGTCATAAATCCCAATTGTTTAAAAACCGATTAGATTGTTTAATAATTAGGTTATATTATTTTTTTTGTTTTAAATTTCTAAATTAATAATTTTAAGATATATGATTAGACAAAAAATGAAAAAAAAACCCAAATTAACAATAAAAAAAGTCAATATACAACATCTTTAATCAACGTAATCAAAGTATCCTCATCCAAAATGACATATCATCATATCATATGATAAATGACCTGATATTAAACTGACACTTGTAATTTTAATTAACGATAGTTAGTTAATAATTAATGATAAAAATTTATTTAATCAAAATAAAAATATAAAAATTTAATTAAATGATATAAAAGTGTAAGGGTTTAATTGACATTTTTGGCATAATTTAGAGACTTATTTAGATATTATGATTAAAAATTACTAAACTCTAAAAATGGATCATTTATGTTTGAATTTTATATTAATGATAAGGACCAAATTTTTTTGTCATATTGAGGGTGACAAGTTTGTTGGAAATTTTCATGTTAGTAGAGAAAATTTATATGAATTTGATAGTATTAATAAAACGACTTGAGAGAAGGCTGTTTTTTGATGAACAAAATATGTAACTCACTTGCTCACAAATCAAAATAGATGACAATTTTGTTTTATTTATATCTAAAAATAGAAAAAAGCTATTTAGTAAAAGATGGGAATAGGCAAAATCTTGGGCTTACAGTGAACTTTAGATGCATGGAAACAGTAGCGGTTTTTCCTTTCTGTAAGTTAGGAGCCCAAAACTAGACTACCCGCCAGTGGAAATGGCACAAACCTGCGGCGAGGCTATTCTTGTATTTTTCCATCTCATGCAAACAAGAGCGGCACCCGCCAACGCTCCTTTTGAAGAAAATCACCTCACGCGCCCAAATGCAAACTCAGTTATTATCAATATAATAAATGCAAACAGTTGCTTTTATTTAAAAGAAGCATGGCACTGTTAAGGAATGAATATATTATATTACATTCAAGTTTTTATTAATTAGTAGAACAATGCTGTCCAGTTTTGGCACGCTCCACTAGTGAGAGTGGGATTCTGGCCTACTGGTAAGATCACCTCCCCTAGCAGCAGATAGGGGTTATGTTGGGTGGCTGTCTCTTCTGTCTCCGTCTTCCTTCTTTCTGATAATGCTTAAGCTCTTACTCTTCTGATCAACAACAGCAGGTATGTAAAAATCTCATCATTTTAATAAGGCCTCAAAATTTAAAAAGAAAAAAACCTTCTTTATTTTTTCCTCCTTTTAATGCATGTTCTGAGATACCCAGTTCTGCTTTTCAGCTTATTTTATCAGTTTTGTATTGACTTTTAGTTGCATTCTTTAAGCTTTGATGAATTAAACTTTCCCTTTTGTCTGTCTGGGCTTTCCCTATAATTCAGGGTTTTCAAGAATGTCAGTAATCAGTTTCAAGCATGTTTATGATAATAAGTACCTATGTTTCTTAAAGTTGTTTGCTTAGTGGTTAGGAATTCAGGGCTTTTACATTGATCTTTAGTGGAAAATATTCGGCTGTGTCACTCATTATTGATTCCCATAAGTGCTAAGCTATGATCATCTTTTTTCTTCATCCTTTCCTGGTTTCCCTCTTCTTGGTACCCCTTCTCCAACGATCATGAGGATTGAATTTTTCCCTAACTTAAAGGTTGCTTGAATATTTGAATTCTTTAATGTATATATTTTATAATTAAGTGCTTAAGTTGCATTCTTTAATGTAAATTGAGACCCTTTTTGCACTTTAGCCAAAAAGCTTGATAATCTTGCTTCACGCTTGCATTCTTTGACTTGCATCGTTCCGTACAATGAAAGCTAGTTAAAGTTTTTGCTTTGGAGGATTTTATGGGCTATGGCTGTCCCCAAGGCTCATCCTTTTATTACTTTTGACCTGAACGAAAATTTTTTATGGTGCATTTAAGCAGGTCTTGGAGTAGATTAAGGCACCTTTCTTGGGATTACAGGATTAATTCTAACTCCACCAGTTAAATAGTTTTGGCATTAAAGTAATGGTACTTTTGGATATGTTAATGTTGAAATAAGGCTAGTTGATATTAGAAAATTGAAAAACAATACTTAAAATGATCATGGTATTTTCAATTAGATTTTAGAAGCAGCGAGCAAGTTTTTGGCTTTCATTTTGTACCTATGCAAGGATAGATGAGAGCTTGGGACCACTGAGGATTATTGACCTCAGAATCATCCATAAGTAAGGGTGCCCCAAGATGGAAGTGCCTATTACCTCTTTCTGACCTCAGAACCTACTTGACCTTACCTTACCTCTTATCTTAGCTATCTCTCCAAAAGAAATGGCCTTGTCCATGGAATTGCAATGGTTTCAGCGTTATAAAGTGTTGAATGAACACAGATGATTTCTACATTATCAAGCTACCTTTACTAATGTTGGCTTCTAAAATTTTATTTTAAATACCTACAAGTAGGTTCCTTTTGCCTGGCTTTATCTGAGTGAAATTTTAAGACAATGTACCCCGGTGGTTACACTGCTGAAATTACAAGCTTATCTCCAAAAGCTACTGAGAAGGATGTTCGTGACTTTTTCGCTTATTGTGGCGCAATTGAGCATGTTGAAATTATAAGGTAGTTTGCTACTCAGTTTCTGGTCACTGATAAGATACACACCACAAATTACTCTCCATGATATTGAATTTTTAATTATTTTGTTTATAGTTATGTCCATTTGTAAACTTCTTGTTGTTCACTGGTTCTTCGAGAAAAAAGTCAAAAGCTCCGAAGTCTTTTGTCTGAAATGATTTCTTGTTGGATAATCGATAATGTCAATCTTGATTTTATGGAAAAGCAATCTCTTTGAGTAGAATTTCTTCAGGTTATGATTCCCATAATTTGTACAAATGTAACTTAGCAGCAAGTGGTCTTTTTCCTTTCTTCTGACAGGTTTCTTGATTAAGGAGGGTTTTATAATCAAGCTGTTTAATTTTACTTATTGTTTTCAGACTCTTTTAGGAAAAGTCAAAGGTGAGGAGGTCTTTTGTCTGAAATGCTTTCTTGTTGGTTATTTGGTACTTTTGATCTGATTAAGTGGAAATCAATCTCTTTAACTGAATCTGCTCAGTTATGATTTAATAATCTGTAAAAATTTGACTTACCAACGAATGCCATTTTTCCTTGCCTGCGACATATTTCTTGAACTTAAGAGAGTTTTATACCATAATTAAGTAATTTAATTTTACTTTTTCTTTGAAATTGCGTATACCTTTTGTTCTAGGTATACCTTAGTGTGATCTTATTAGCTGATGAACATTAGCTTAACCTTGATCATTCTTTTAAACCTAATATAAGAGTAATTGGATGCTGCCACTGATAGAAGTAGATTTTGGATTGTTCATGTTTATCTCGTGCAAATGTGGCTAGCTGCTTCCTACAGGAGTGGTGTCATAGTTGCAATGCATGATATCTTTG